ATTTCTGAGTCAGTCATAGCGCTCTCCCAGAAATCTGCTCTCCAGCCAAAATACCAATGTAGCTGATGGTCATAGCATAACTGTTTACCAGAGAGCTTTTTATAGCTTGTTTAGTGCATCCACATTTGAGCCCCAGGAGCAATAACTAAATATGTATTTTTTTGCTTCCACTTTTTATCTTTTCACCGGTTTTACCAGATGATTGCAACAGCAGCTCTCATACTTTTTGGTCTTGGGACCCCTTCACACTGTCGGAAGTTAGGGAGGACCTCCAAGAGCTTTTGTTTATATGGGCTAATACTGATCCATACCATATTGGAAAGTAAAACTGAGACTCTCAAAACTTATTAATTCATTTTAAAAGAAACCCATTATGTTCTAAGACAAATAATGCTTTATGAAAAATGTATTTAAAAAAACGAGTGCACACAGTAGTGTACAGTTTTGCAGATCTCTTTAATACCTGTCTTCAGAAACAGATTCTCACATCTCCTTTCAATTTGCTGCAACAAGTTGGTTGAAGAAAATCCATCTTTACCTAGAAATGCATTCGGAAATGCATTCTATTAGCCTTTTCAGATGACTGGATGTTTTTTGATACTTCCTCAAAGCTCAGCAAGTGACAATTTTTTAAAGGTCAGTTGCAATTTGGAATCAAACCATATCAGTGATTTTTTCAGTCAGTTACATTAAATCCCTCCCACATCTGGCACTGTGACTGGATCTTTTACCCAGGCGTGATTTTGTAATGTGATGCATTGGTCATTTGGGACGTACTGATTCACCATGTTATACAAATCTTCCACATATGGACACATGCCATGATGCAGAAGAAAAGGAACATATTATGTTCATCACAGTCTCATCAGAAAAAATCTAAAATGCCACCAAGCTCATGGTGGTGGATACAAGTTTCCCCAAATCCAGGTTTTCCCATGGCAGCTCACATTTTGTCAATGGCAGCGAACACTGTCAGTTGCTTCCCTTGAAGCTCATTTCCCTCATTATTGAGGGACTGAGACCTGAGTCCGGATAACCGAGTCTGCTGGTCGTTCGATGAAAAGAGCGGCTAGTTTTGCTCAGAACCCAACCTCACTGCTCTTGCTGGAGACGGAGCACAGAAGTGCGCTCCGCTTGCGTCCCACATTATCACACAGAAAGTTAAAAGGGCTGCGCGTGCGTGGAATTGCTCGGATGCTCCTGAGTGAGCCAGAGTGCGTAGGTGCCCGTGCTGTTACCATGTCCAGGGGACACATGTCCCCACAGTGAACTGAGTCACTGAGTGGTGTCTCAGGGTTCGTATGGAAATTGTTTTGACCTCACAGATCCCCTTAGGGTCTTGGGCCCATGGACCACACACCCTTGCTTCCAGCCAGGACATGTCTGTTGTCACCGTTCTGCACAGAAGGTGCCTCATGACTTTCCCTTGCCTGGTAGCCTTAGAAATAAACACAAAGCTTTTTTTCCCCTAAGGTTTTATTCATAAATACTTTCCTCCTAGGTCCTTCTTTCTCTTTTTGCCACTTAGGTCAGGATTGGGGGACCATGAGGGAGGTGAGGGGGTGATCAGGGGGTTTATGTCCCCACCTCTCTCCTTTCTCCCGTTCTCCAAAGGCTGGTCTTAGGCAGCAAAGGCGCGGCAGCAGGGACTGGCAGGTGAGGTCAGCCTGGAGGGAGGGGAGCAGGGCCTCCGGGACAGCAGGGCAGCGAGGCTGCACCTCACCAGGGCCGGGTCCGCAGAGGGCTCCTGCTGGCACCCGGCACTGCCTGTGCGTGGAGCCTGCTTGGGGAACTGTGACCGGCAGCAGGCAGAGCAGACCTCGGTGTTGATTTTCTGCTCTTTTCGTTTTTAGGATTTGTGATGGTGTCCAGTTTGGAGCCGGGATAAGGTTCCTGTAGCTGCCGCAGGGTCCTCCAGCCCCTCCCGGAGCAGCTCTGGGACGTGGAAAGCAGTGACTCACTCAGGCCCACACACTTTCTCTCTGAATAAACACATTGGAGTGATTTTTTGACTGCAGCCCTTGTGGGAAACCATGTCAATAAATTTTGAAGGCAAATACTCAGATGCTTCGTGGATATGATTTGCTTTCCCCAGACGGTGTGTCCCACGCTGGCTTTTCCTGAGGACCCCGCGTAGGGGGATGAGACAGTGGAAGTTGCCGTGTGTCCTTTCACGTGCTGCTCAGACAGAAGGTACCGTCAGACAGTCTCTGAATTCCTTTTCATCCCAGAGCCCTGGCTGGCGGGCCTGCGGTTCCCACGCACCAGGAGTGTCCAGCCGATCCCCGTGGCTGCGCGTAGAGGGTGTGTACAGTTTCCTTGATGCGCCGGCTGCCAAGGGGAGGCCACGTTGGCGGGTGCTGCAGCCATGGTGCTGGCTGTTTGCATCATTTAGCGTGTGGACGTGGCGTGGAAGAACTGCGGGTGAGGTGAGGGACACGGAGGCGGAGGCAGGTGTGCTCCAGAGTAATGGCGATTCAGTGCAGGATGAAGTGCTCATTTCCCTGTCACACAAGCCAGTGGCTAAACACAGAGTGGTCACCCTGCAGTCTGCAGGTCCCGAGTCCATAATGGGCTTCCCTGGCTGACATCAAAGGGGCAGCAGGACTGAGCCCTTCCAGAGGCTCTGTGCGGACCCCGCCCCCTCCCCTGCCGTGGCTCCCAGTGGCACCCACTGCTTGGCTGGTGGCCCCTTCCTGTATTTTCATGGCGGGCAGCCTGGCATCAGCTGGTCTTTCCCTGACTGTGGCCTCTGGTGCTTTTACAGACCCTGGGACAGCCCAGGCCACTCTCCAGGCTTTAAGGTCAGCTGATTAGCAACCCCAAGGCTGTCTGTAATGTTAATTCGCCTGCCCTGTCACACGGCACATCCGCAGGAGTTGGAGTGTGCACAGCTTAGGGGGCCATTCCTCTGCCTGGTGCACCCAGCATCTCACAGTCATATTTCTGGAATCTACTTAGTCAGTCACATGTGAGAAAATTTTTTAAAGAAAAGGTAGTCCTCCTTTGAATTCTTCAAAAGTGATGCCATGTAAGTGTCCAGCATCGTGGAGGAAGCCCCCGCGGCCTTGGCTGGATTGCTGTTACTCTTGCGTCTTCTCTCTCCAAGCGGGACTGAGTCCTCGTCGCTCCCAGTCCTCCCCATAACCGGCGGTCTAAGTCTCCATAAGGAAGCTGGGTGTTTTGGAAGCGGCTAGAGTCCATGGACCTGCACTGCCCCAAGGCCGTGCTCAGGCCCCAGGACTCCGCCCACAGTGCCTGCATGGACCCTGGGGATTTTGCAAGAATATGTAAGCGCAGTTTAACTTTCATAATATAAGGGACATGGGAAAATATACTTATTTCCCCCGAATTGTTCTATGGTTTCACATAATATGCCTTTGGCAAATTAAGAAACCCATGTTATAACACTGTCATGTTCATATTGTAAATTAAGAACAGGAAAACCTGAATAATTCTACTCTGACACTGTGCCCTTTGAGAATTCATCTACTATGTCAGCGGAGAACCCGAAGAAGAAGCCATCTCTGAAGAGGTACATGTTTAGTCGAGCGAGGCCGGGTCACCCTGGGTCACTCCGGGTCGTTGGCGCCAGCTCCTTAATTAAAGCACTCCAGGCCCAGCTGTCTCTTTGTGGGCGAGGCTGGGCTCATCTGTAACACGCTCCCGAGGCCCCCCTTTGCAAGGGGAGAGGAGACAGCGGAGCCCTGGGGAGAGCTAGAATTCCGTCTGTCCCCGGTGGTGACAGGTGATGGCCTGGAGGGCGTCAGGACGGCCTTCCACGGAGAGACCAGGGTTCTGGCAGGTTTTGTTGTTGTGGGAGGTAATATTTCATCTCTCCTCTTGAGGGCGTCAGGTGTGACAGAATGGAACCAGGAGAGCGGAACCCGTCCCTCCGCAGTTTCATGTGCCCCGCCTCAATCTCGGCATCTTGATCTTATTCCATTTTCTCCAACACCTGAATATTTGGCCTGAAAAGCTTGGTATTTGTTTGATTCGCCTTTTGCTCCGCTCTGCATGGGTCAGGCCACAGCCAGCTTTGTTCTGATGGAGAATGTGGCCGTGTCCCTTGCTGAAAACTGCTGGGTCAATCTTCCATTTGTAACAAGCAGACTAACTTTAGTGAACCTGATTTTCACAGAAGAAAAACCCACTGAGATAGTTCGCATCTTCGTTCTCGTGAACTTGCAGTGTCTGTGCACAAACTCAGTGACCCATTACACACAGTGTCATCGGCAGTGTGCCAGGAGCAGTGCCACAAGCCATTTGTTTCTCCATCTGCAAGTCTTATGATCCCACGAGGGACCAGGCTGTCCTACCAGATGCGACCATTGCTGGCCCCTCTGGGGCAGGTGTGCCACCGGCTGCCAGGCCACATTCCCCATAGGTGGTTCCCGCAAAGGCCCTTCACTTTTGACAATCTCCTCATACCCTGCAGCCCCTCAGGCTAAGAATTCCCTCTGAGTTGTGAATCTTCTCTCTCTTTTTTTTTTTAAAGACTAGATAAACTTACCTTTAGGATAATTAGATGCACTCAAACGCACTGTATGTTTAAAGATCACCAAAGAGGAGAGGATTCCTTAATCTAGACAAAAACCTGAGAACCGTGCTTTAAATGAAATGTTTAAAGTCAGGCAGTTGTATTCAAAATGCAAATTTCCAGCTTTTCTTAAAAATTGGGTCTGATCACAGGAGGTCTTCGTTTCTGCCCGCAGCAGAGAGCTGGAGGCGAGGTTCCTTTTGCCTGAGGCTGCACCCCGGGGCTTGCAGGGCCCTGTCTGCTGTCCCTGTAGCCCGCTCATCTATGTTGTTCTGCCTTTGGCCCATCAGAAGGGGAAGCATCTGAACACGCCCAGCGGGAGGCACCTTTCCGGGGAGCAGCTGTCTGAAAGTGGATGAACTGTGAGCCCTGGGTCAGGAGCTTGGCTGTAGTCCTAGGGGCTGTTTACTAAACCTCTTCTTTCCTCTGGGCCTCAGTTTGTCTTCTGGCAAAGTTGAGGCTTGGGTTTAGCACCTTTTAGTCATGAATCCCACAGTCCTAGCAGACCCCACTTTTGGAGCCTCTGAGGCTTTCGGTCCTCAACGCAAATGCCAGCTGACGTGTAACACCACACATTACTCTGTTTTTGAACATTAGATAAAGGAGTGAACAGCAGGTACATTTTTGTGATTCAGGCTGCACTCAGACCCCAGCCCTGTCACTAGCTAGACAGCATTTCTGAGTCAGTCATAGCGCTCTCCCAGAAATCTGCTCTCCAGCCAAAATACCAATGTAGCTGATGGTCATAGCATAACTGTTTACCAGAGAGCTTTTTATAGCTTGTTTAGTGCATCCACATTTGAGCCCCAGGAGCAATAACTAAATATGTATTTTTTTGCTTCCACTTTTTATCTTTTCACCGGTTTTACCAGATGATTGCAACAGCAGCTCTCATACTTTTTGGTCTTGGGACCCCTTCACACTGTCGGAAGTTAGGGAGGACCTCCAAGAGCTTTTGTTTATATGGGCTAATACTGATCCATACCATATTGGAAAGTAAAACTGAGACTCTCAAAACTTATTAATTCATTTTAAAAGAAACCCATTATGTTCTAAGACAAATAATGCTTTATGAAAAATGTATTTAAAAAAACGAGTGCACACAGTAGTGTACAGTTTTGCAGATCTCTTTAATACCTGTCTTCAGAAACAGATTCTCACATCTCCTTTCAATTTGCTGCAACAAGTTGGTTGAAGAAAATCCATCTTTACCTAGAAATGCATTTGGAAATGCATTTTATTAGCCTTTTCAGATGACTGGATGTTTTTTGATACTTCCTCAAAGCTCAGCAAGTGACAATTTTTTAAAGGTCAGTTGCAATTTGGAATCAAACCATATCAGTGATTTTTTCAGTCAGTTACATTAAATCCCTCCCACATCTGGCACTGTGACTGGATCTTTTACCCAGGCGTGATTTTGTAATGTGATGCATTGGTCATTTGGGACGTACTGATTCACCATGTTATACAAATCTTCCACATATGGACACATGCCATGATGCAGAAGAAAAGGAACATATTATGTTCATCACAGTCTCATCAGAAAAAATCTAAAATGCCACCAAGCTCATGGTGGTGGATACAAGTTTCCCCAAATCCAGGTTTTCCCATGGCAGCTCACATTTTGTCAATGGCAGCGAACACTGTCAGTTGCTTCCCTTGAAGCTCATTTCCCTCATTATTGAGGGACTGAGACCTGAGTCCGGATAACCGAGTCTGCTGGTCGTTCGATGAAAAGAGCGGCTAGTTTTGCTCAGAACCCAACCTCACTGCTCTTGCTGGAGACGGAGCACAGAAGTGCGCTCCGCTTGCGTCCCACATTATCACACAGAAAGTTAAAAGGGCTGCGCGTGCGTGGAATTGCTCGGATGCTCCTGAGTGAGCCAGTGTGCGTAGGTGCCCGTGCTGTTACCATGTCCAGGGGACACATGTCCCCACAGTGAACTGAGTCACTGAGTGGTGTCTCAGGGTTCGTATGGAAATTGTTTTGACCTCACAGATCCCCTTAGGGTCTTGGGCCCATGGACCACACACTGAGAACCTCTGATCTGTCGCCAGCCACAGCGCGAGACGCCAGGCTGGGGTTCCTCCTCCGGTCGTGCTTGCAGATCTGCGCCGGAGTGACGGTGGGGGTGCCAGTGATGTGAGAGGCTTGCCACGGACTTGGAGGAGGAGGGACTCCTTTGCTGAGGGACAAGCTGGGAATAAAAACCCTCCTGTGTTGTCACATGTAAATGATATTCACCTCCCTGCCCTCGCATTCCTCGTCTGTGAAATGGGGCTAGTGTAACCCTTGTGTGTAGTAGGGAATGTATGTAAAAGGCTTGGCATCCAGTAGGGGCCTGAGAACAGTGGCCCAGTCGAGGCAGAGCGGGTTCAGGTGGGGGCTGGGGTATAGGGAGGCAGGTGGGCGCGCTCTCAGCTTGTCAGTACAACCTGGGGACAGGGTCAGCAGGGGAGCAGTTAGTCTTCCTGCTTGCTGTCACCCCGAAGTGCTGTAAAGTGAAAAGATAGGTATGCATT